TGCATCGGAACATCTGGCCCCCTGACCTCAGACTCCTCCCACCCTGTGAAGGAAGATCAGTGTCTCTTTGCCTTCTCTAGGAATTTCCCTACCCCCAACCACTTGGTCTTTCTTCTAGTAACAGTCAAGAGGGCACCAATGTTTAATCCAGAGGTGACAATGTGAGGGGAATTTCTGTGGAGTACATGAGCCTGGAGCAGAGTAGTGGCAGGGTTTGGGACTTAGCAGGAGTCTGGAGTTTGGAGGGTAATGCCCTGACCCCTCAGTGTTCAGCATCAGGATCACAGCTGCAGGGACAGTAAGGAGCAGGCTCTCGGAGCCTGGGTGTGTGGCTGAGTCAATGCTGGCGAAGATCTCCCTGGTCATCTGAGCATCAAACAAAGGGTGGACAGAATCTCGGCCAGTAACAAAAGTGGTGATCTCTGAGGAGCTGGCTATGGCCAGCATCTTCAATGCCTATGAAGGAAATGTGGAAGCAGAATTAGGAATAGGAAGAGCCACCATGAAGAAGGGGTAAGCCAGGGCCATCATTCTAGACCTTAAACTTTAAGACAAAAGTTAAGTATAATAAGAGGAGACAAAAATGGAAGAGGCAGTAATAGGATATCAAACACCAGAAAGTGGTGGCTAAAAGGAGGGAAAAGAGAGAGAAAAGAAAAAGAAAACCAAAAAACCCCAAGACAAGATAGTAAAATCAGCCTGCCACTTCTCTCTGCCCCCAGGCTCCCAGCACCAAGGCTACCTAAGTAGGATGGCCACCACCCCCATCTTCCCTTCAGACTGACACCCTCTCACAGTGTCCAGTTTTCATAAAAGGCTTTCTTTGACATTTCCCATCTTGATTAACCACTCTTTCCTTTGCAAAACCTTTCTTCCCTTGAGTTCTATGACTTTATCCTCCAGGTTTTCCTCCTACCTCTCTTGTGTTCTTTGGGCCAATCCACAAATACGAGGTTCTCCGTTTTTTTCTTCCCACCCTGTATCCTCCTCCAACCCAGGCAAGCTCGTCCAATCCCACAGCTCCAATTTCTAACTATATGTCAACTCTCCCAAACCTGTGTTCCTTGGCCTTAGCCAGTATCCAGCCCTTCTCAACAAGGGCAGTAGATCTCAACAAGATCATTTCACAGGCAGAGTGGTTGAAATTATAGGAAAAATACTTGTAATATGAAAACTTTTTGGCTGGTACTACAGAGAAAAAAAAATTAAAATGAACAGTACATCATTAAAGTAGAGAATGTCTCGAATATCTCTCCTGGTGAAAGGGTCGACTCTCTAGAAAAAAATCCACTAGGGATGGACTGGGCTAGAAATAATTCTCAGGACAACTCTCCTATGAGGCTTGGACCCTCCAAGAAAATGCTACCTTGGCTCGGCGCCTGTGGCTCAAGTGGCTAAGGCGCCAGCCACATATACCTAAGGTGGTAGGCTCAAATCTAGCCCAGGCCCACCAAACAACAATGCCGGCTGCAACCAAAAAAACATAGCCGGGCGTTGTGGCAGGCACCTGTGGTCCCAGCTACTTGGGAGGCTGGGGCAGGAGACTCGCTTGAGCCCAGGAGTTGGAGGTTGCTGTGAGCTGTGATGCCATGGCACTCTACCCAGGGGGGCAGCTTGAGGCTCTATCTCCAAAAAAAAAAAAAAGAAAGAAAGAAAGAAAGAAAGAAAATGCTACCTCATAATGAGGCAGTCTCTCTTTGGCTACCCCATGCTTCCCTGATTAGTTGAATTCTGTAGACCTTAACAATTTTATTTCTGGATGAGACTCTGAATTTAGTGGTAAATGCTTTATTTTGGTCATGTAACTTGAAAGGATCAGAGAATTTGAGCATATATGACCTAGACTGTGACTGCCTATCTGCTCTTAAATGAGCAGCACCTCATTGGCTGCACAAAGGAAAAGAGCCTCCTGGCCTCTTCAGGGACAGCTTGCTCTAAAGGACATGTGCTCCTGTTCATGCTATTGTCATTATATTGTTGGAATCTATTCTGATCTCCCATTCTGGGACCCTTGGGCCATACAGAGCCACTGTGTCCACATTGCCCTACCAGCCATCACTTCTGTCTTGAGTAGGCAGGCAGTCAATTCTATAAGCTCCCTGGATAAAGGCCTCTCTTCCCTATTCTTTGGGCCCAGGGTGACACCATAATGCAAATGCTGGCTCTGTTTTACCCAAATCTGGTGAGGGAATATTTTCTTTATAAGGTTACTACTCAGATAAAAGGGGAAAAAAAGGTAATTTTAGCTTAGCTGTTACTTCTATAAAATTAGTATTAGGGGGTTTTTCCTGCTGAAAATTTAGAAGGAATAGAAAATTAGTTTTTTTTTTAAACTATTTATTATTTATTTATTTATTGGAGACAGAGCCTCAAGCTATCCCCCTGGGTAGAGTGCTGTTGCATCACAGCTCACAGCAACCTCCAACTCCTGGGCTCAAGCAAGTCTCTTGTCTCCACCTCCCAAGTAGCTGGGACCACAGGCACCTGCCACAATGCCCGGCTATTTTTTGGTTGCAGCCGTCACCGTTATTTGGCAGGCCTGGGCTGGATTTGAACCCACCACCTTAGGCATTATGTGGCTGGTGCCTTAGCCACTTGAGCCACAGGCGCCGAGCCAGAAAACTAATTTTTAACCAGACATCTAATTGTAACTAAAGAAGCATAAGATAGTCAACATACCTAGAAACTCAACTCCTGATCTACTGCCCATACCCCCTCCTCCTACATTTTCTCACTTAATAAATGGCTACCTCATGCACTCTGCTGCTCAGTTTTATACCAGGAATCATTCTTTTAAAAAATCCCTTCTCCCTTTCTCCAAACATGCACTCATTCCCCAAGACTGTCTAGATCAAACTCTTAAATCTACCTGCATCTTTTCATCCCCCCCCCCCCCCCCCCCGGTCTAAGTCACTGCAGTATCTCCTCAAGATCAGCAGTCCCCGGTCTGCCTGTCTTGCCCATCACTCTCTCATGCCAGGCCCAGTGACTCACCGCCAGCCCTGCCTGCTGCACCAAGATGGAAGTCTTATATTCTTGCATGCAAACCAGCACAGCATAGATGCCACCCTCCCTGGCAAAGACTGGCCGCCACTCGTGCTTGGTCATGAGCAAGTAAAGGAGGCGCAGGCCCAGCACCACCACCATCTTCTCTCCAACCTGGTTGGTCAGCAGCTCCACAAGCGTCTTCACTAGCTTCTCTCTGATAACAGAAGAAACATTGGGTCTCCATATCCCAAGGAGTCTTGCCTGATTTCCCAGCTGCATCACCAACTGACTCCCACCCTAACCCCATCTGCTAAGATCTACGGGGTTCCCTCCACACTCCCCCACCTACTCTCCTTACCTCAGCCTCACTCCTGATCCCCTCCCTTCTGTACTCTTACTGACTCTGGCTTCTCACCTCATGAAGGAGGCAGGAGAGCAAAATGGTTACAAATTCTGGCTCATCCTTTCAAATAACTCTAAAAATTCAAAGTAATTCTAATCAAAATGCCTAAAATATTTTCAAAAATACTAGGGGCAGCGCCTGTGGCTCAGTGAGTAGGGCACCAGCCCCACATACCAAGGGTTTTGGGTTCAAACCCAGCCCCAGCCAAACTGCAACAAAAAAATAGCCAGGCGTTATGGCGGGCACCTATAGTCCCAGCTACTCGGGAGGCTGAGGCAAGAGAATCACCTAAGTCCAGGAGTTGGAGGTTGCTGTGAGCTGTGATGCTATGGCACTCTACCAAGGGCAATAAAGTGAGACTCTGTCTCTAAAAAAATAAAAGTTAATCTTCCTATGACAGGAAGATTCTGACACTAGAAGAGAAATGTTTGGAAAAAATAATGGTAGATTTGTTTATCATTATCGAAATACAAACCTGTAACAGTTGAAACCCTGGAACTTGGCTCGGCGCCTGTAGCTCGGTGAGTAGGGCGTTGACCACATACACCGAGGCTGGCAGGTTGCAGCCTGGCCCAGGCCAGCTAAACAACAATGACAACTGCAACCAAAAACTAGCCGGACGTTGTGGTGGGTACATGTAGTCCCAGCTACTCAGGAGGCTGAGGCAAGAGAATCACTTAAGCCCAAGAGTTTGAGGTTGCTGTGAGCTGTGACTCCATGGCACTATACCTAGGGTGACATAGTGAGACTCTGTCTCAAAAAAAAAAAAAAGAAAGAAAGAAAGAAACCCTGGAACTGATACAGGGTAGCCAAAAGGATCAACAGCTGAGAGGAGAGATAAGGGTAGTATCTCAGCTAGTGAAGAAAGAAAGACTATAAAACATGATATTGAGATATCTGGCTATACATTTGAAAAAATGGTAAGTGGAGCTCTACTTCACACCATTTGCAAAAATGAATTACAAATGGATTTAAAAAAAATAGCCAGGCATTCTGGCAGACACCTGTAATCACAGCTACTCAGGAGGCTGAGACAAGAGAATCACTTGAGTTCAAGGGTTTAAGGTTGCTGTGAGCTGGGATGTCACAGCACTCTACCAAGGGCGACAAAGTGAAACTCTGTCTCAAAAAAATAAATAAATAAAATAAAAACAAAGTAGGGAGAAAAGAAAAAGGAAAAAGAAAAAGCACAAGCCCCAGAGCCAAAAGAACCTAGATTTCAAATCTATAAAACTAAGCTAATTACTTAAATTCTCTAAGCCTGTTTCCTTGCCCATATAGTAGAGTAATAGTATCACTGCTCCCTTCGATGTTGGACAGATTTAATGAGAGAATGCATGTAAATAACTAGCAGAAATGCTCCAAAAATATCACATACGTGCCGCTGTAACACCTAACCCTCCTACTCAGCTGCTCCTCAGGCTACCCTCCTTCATCCCCAGCTTTTCTAACTCTTGATCTTATAGCTCCTTCCCCCTTACCACGACCTTTACTGTTGCTTCAACCAGAACCTCTCCTCCCACAACAAACAAACCTCAGTGATTTGTCAGGATGAACCAGAGGGTGGTCCCGCTCAGTAATCTCCTCCACAGCCTGAGAGAGGGCGGAGAGCCCTGAAAGCTGCAGGTTTGCGTCCAAGCTGGAGATCTGCACAGTGGCCACGACTGCCGCCACATGCTGACCCAGGGAGCTGCGAGAACCAGGACCCCTCAAGGCTCTAGCCATTTCTGAAATTAATGGGTGAAAGGCAGTGGCTAAAAATTGTGGCACCTCTAAGCTGGAAGTCTTTAAAGGTCAAGCCAGTTACCCTGCTGATATTTAAACACATTATTTATTATTATAGCCTATATCCTTTTCCAATTCTGTGTGAGGGATCTAATGGTTGAACTATGAAATGAAGATACCCTAGAAAACAGACCCTCCTTTTCCAGAAAGGGAGTGGGGGATACAATCAAGGTCAAAGGAAAGATGGATACACAGTTCTAAAACATTTTCCCTGCAAAAGTGGCCTTACTTAATGGCTTTCCTTCTACCCTGTATACTACTTCTGCCCAGGACTTTTTCCAACTTTTTTTTTCCCAGCACTTGACTCACCACTGGCTGTCTCCTTCACCTCAGGGGGCAGGGTCATCCTCTCAGTCACCAGAAGCTGGTTAAATAGCTGTGAATCACTCTGTGCCATGGGGGACTCAGTCTTTGCCTTGGGGTGCTCTGCCTCTGCCTTAAGGGTCTCAGCCTTTGCTTTGGGGGACTCATTCTCTTCTTCTGAGAAGCTGGTCTCCAATTTGGACTCTTCTTGTGGATCTGGAGTATAGGAGTGACTTCGTGAAGTAGAGGAGCTGCTTAATATATCAAACAGCAGTCCATACTTGGTGTAGATCTGGGAGTTGAGCAGGTCATTGAGGATGCTGCCCTCAAACCGGTTACTGAGAACCTGCAGAAGACCCTCAGCCATCTCTACAGGCACGGAGATCTCACCAAGGTCCTTTTCATGTAGGGTCTGTCAACAGAAGGGGTATGTGTTTCAGGGACAAACAGAAACAAAGGTCCTGGCTACCATAATGGAAGGGTAGCCACCCCCCTACATGTCCTTCATACCTTCTACATACTAGACCCTCATAGTACTGTCTTGTCCCCAACAGGACCCATCCCCAACTATCTATCTCCAGCCTTCCCATAAGTGGTATCCCATATCTAGAACTCCAAAGAGTCCTACCTCTAATCCTACTGTAAGTCCCCTACCAGGTATCTGAGGCCTGTAATACCTCATCCAGGTTCTCTCGAAGACTCTGGAAAAGTGGCTGCTGTTCACATAGGTCCAACTTCTTGATGAAGAAAAGCAGCTCCCACCACTCAGCCTGGGTCAAATATCCCTCATTCTTCTGAGGCTCAGGCTGGAGGTAGGGCAAAGAGTAGAGCCCATCCACAGGGTTCCAGTCCCGGGAAGGAAATACTAAGAACACAGGCATATAAGGATCAGTACCCATTAGAAGAGTCAGTTTCTGAACCTCTGGGGCTGCTCCTAGTCAGAAGTAACTTCCTCCCAGTCACTACTCCTCTATTTAGAGACATGCTATCCATGTCCCTTCTTAGGCTCACCTGTGCCCAGCACAGTAGCTCCTGCTCCCTTCTCCACAGCTGCTGAAGCTGTATCCTCAGTAGATTCCTCTGGGCCCAGGATCTCCAACATATGCCAGTGCACCCAGTAGGTGCGACCTGTCGACTGCCAGAAGACCTAATATGAGGGAGGTATAAAGAGGAATGAGGAATAGAGAGGGCTTGGTTCTTTGAAGGCTTGAAAGGATATGCTCGGGTTCAGACCTGGGTGACACCCTCAGGTACACACCTGACTAGGCTCGGAAAAAGCTTCGTATAGCAAAAGGCTTTCTTCCCCTATCAGGAGTGGGTCTTTCCTCTCTTCCTAACCAAGGTGGTCTATGCTCCCACACTCCTTCCTAGTTTCCTTCACTGATGCAAGTGGTGGTGAGGTATCTTGATATATCAGTTCTGCTCCCTGAGTCCTAGTTTCCTTATGACCTCACAGCCCACCTGCATCCCGCCAGATTTCCTCAGCCCTCAAATTGATACTCTTCCAAATGCTGACCTTCTTTTACCTTTCCAATTCCCCTCAAGGTTTTCTCCTTGGGGGTCCATAATACAAAAACAGATCCTCAATAGCGTTCCACCACCATGCATAGCTCACCTGCACAAGGGGGATGCCATTCTTACTCTGCCGGAAAGCACCCTCATCCCCAGCACTGATCTCCTCGTAATCATCCAGCATCCGCACTCGCATTCCTGGCTGCAGCACCTGCTGCACATATTCTCCATAGCCACTCCGGCTAGAGAATTCAGAGCGCTGGCGGAAGGCCCACCCTTGCCTTCTAGGGGCGGTGACAGATGTGGGGAATAAAGGGCTGGGGCCTGAAATGCAGGGCTGAAAGATGGACCGCACTGGCCGGGGTGACGGTGTGCCCTGTTCACTGAGGTTCCGCGCCCAGCCCATGCTCCGCACCAGCTCTGAAATGAGGTTGCCCACAGCCATACTGAACTCCAGCTCCCTCTGTCCTCGGCTTTTCTCCCTTGTGGGGCATGGGGAGCTTTGGTCTCCAGCTCCTGGCTCTGGACTGTTATTGAGCTGATCCAACAGGGAAGTCACACATAGATAGCGCTTCACCAGGGAGAAGAGCAGCTTTCCTGGGATCTGTAGGACAGAGTCCTTAGGACAGGCTCATCTCCTCCTGCTTTTAGGCCCTTTCCTTCCCCCCAATATCCTCTTCTACAGGAAAATATAAAGGCCTTATCCCCAGACCTGTAGTTTTCAATGTAAGAAATACACAGGAAGTATCTTAAAACACAGATTCCTAGGTTCTAACCTCAGAAATTCTGAATGGGGAGGGAGGAATGAGCCTTCATTTAAATAAGCTCCCCAGGTAGCTCTGCTACTGTCACAGGGTCCTGAACCACATTTTCAGAAATAATGCCTTAGGCCTTGTACGCAGCATTTTCCCCACAGCTGGCAGAGTACCTGAGGCAGGTGAATACCCTCAAAGGCCATGCAGTGTTCTTCAGAGGATGTGGTTTCTGCAAACAGCTCCAACAAAGTATAGCGGCTGTCAAAATCCATGTGCTGCTCAATGCCATCTTGCTGGCTCAGTGACAGAAGGACGTGAGCCCGACTTCCTGTAATCCACACCCAATCCATATCTTCTCCTCAATCTCTAATACTTTGTCCTTGCCTTTCCTAGACTCTATCCCCTACCCTAGAGGCTTTCAAACTTCGTTACTGAGACCTACACCCAGAAATTTTACATGGTAATCTAGTACAAACAAACACACGTATAATGGAAACATATATTTTATGCTACAAAATCTACTCTCACTAAATGCTACATACTTGATATTTTACATTTTTAAAAATGTTGGTTGTAACACATCAAGTTGATTACAAAACCAACCAATAAATCTCACCCCACAGGGTTTTTCTGAGACAGAGTCTCAAGCTGTCACCCTGAGTAAAGTGATATGGCATCATAGCTCACAGCAACCTCCAACTCTTGGGCTTAAGCGATTCTCTTGCCTCAGCCTCCCAAGTAGCTGGGACTACAGGTGCCCGCCACAACACCCACCCATTTTTTGGTTATAGTTGTTACTGTTGTTTGGCAGGCCTGGGCTAGATTCGAACCCACCAGCTCCGGTATACGTGGCTGGTGCCATAGCCACTGAGCTACAGGCACTGAGCCTCAACCCACAGTTTAAAAATGAATGCAAACCTATCCCTTCCCTTCTCTATCTATGCACTAAGAATGGACAGATAAATCAGATGCTATCATTTTATCCTATTTACATACTTCAATAGCCCACAAATCTTTCCTTTGCATTGAATTGATAGTCACCAAACAGCAAGTGTTCTTACAGAGTTGGGAAATCTCTCTGTTCTTACTTCTAGTGGCCCCATTTTCTCCAATGCTTTCCTTCTTCCCCTGGCTATCTCTTACCAGCATCATGCGCTGCCAAAGCCTGCAGCATTTTGCCTGCACTCCGACGGATCTGAGGCTCAGGATTGCACAACATGTGCATGAGCAGGTCTAGGGCTCCTGTCTCCCTGAAGACACCAGTGAGAGGCCCAATGCTGGCATAAGCACTGAGCACATGGATGGTATGGAGCACAGTGGCTGTGAGGCTTGAGGTTCCACCTTCTGCCAGCTGCCTGGCAGCCCTGCATACCAGTGTCCGCACATCAGCCTCCATCTCTCCCACTGCCACTTCATCCAGGCCTCCTGGGTCTCGGGGAAAGCTTCCTGAACCTCCGGTTGGTTCGTGCTGAGGCCCCTTAGATAGTGTCCGTTCACCTAACAGCATTGGACAGTTGGCATAGACCTCGGGGGCTGACAGCCACATGAGGATGTGTTCTGCCTTGCCTTCTTCCACATCCACTTTGCCCACTTCCCCACACTTCAGGATACTCCATCGGATCAGGTATTCAGGATGTCCATCATGCCCAGGCCGCTGCCGAATGAGTTCTTCAGGATATGCTTGCAGCCGAGGCCCTAAGGGCACCATGAGGTCTCCAGCACGCCGTTCTCCCACCATCCTGACCTACTGAGATACACAAGAAGGATAAAGCAGTATAAGAAGAGAAAAAACTACACAGAGAGGGACGGAATCTTGAGACACAGAGAGGGTGGGTGGTGATTGGTAGGCTGCATGGTAGAATTTAGAAGCCAGACAGAAAGGCAAAGAATAGGATGAAATAAATAGCTGAACATACACTGGGATTTATAAGGGGAGAATGGAGTGAATATAGTGAGGGAATGAAATGAAGGGTTTTAAGGATTGGAAGAGTAGCACTCTGGGAGGCCAAGGTGGGAGGACTGCTTAAGGTTAAGAGTTCAAGATGAGCTTGAGCAAAAGTGAGACTCCATCTTTACCCCGCCCCCAAAAAATAGCCAGGCATGGTAGCATATGCCTGTAGTCCCACCTACTCAGAAGGCTGATGCAGGAGGATCACCTGAGTCCAAGAGTTTGAGGTTGCAGTAAACTATGATGATGCCACTGCACTCTACCTGGGTAAGAGAGTGAGACCTACTCTCAAAAAAAAAAAAAAAAAGAAAAAGAAAAAAGAAATGGAAGAGGCAAGTTACAAAGAAGCTGAGAAGAGTAATAGGTGAGGTAACAACAAAATGATAGTTAAACAGGACAATCTGGTGAGAATAGCACAGGGATATAGGTCAAGACTTATAAGGATGACATGAGTGAGTAGGAAGGGTAGTAGCATGTGAGATGGTGGGGTCAGAACACATGAGGAAAAGTAGGAGGGGCAGGACAGGGAGTATAAATGACAGAGTAAAGCTGGAATCTAGACCTAAAGAGTGGGCTACAGCAAATATAGGGAATGGAGATGACAGGAGGCGAGGATACTGAAGGAGAAGACTGGGTGGGAAAAGTGTACGGGAGTCTTATGAAAGGGGGAAGGGCATACAGAGCTGATAAAATTATAGGAAAGAAAGACTAGATCCCACCCTATACTTATGCTGTACAAGGTCTGATAATAAGCTTTTAAACTCATCCTAGAAAAAGTGCTACACACTTCATTGCTGAATATCACTATGGTCACCTTCAAAGTACTCCCCTTGAGAAGCTATGCACTGACACATTACCTGGTCCACCCTTCAAAGCAATTTTGGAATTCTTTTTCTGGAATGGCCATCAAAGCTGTCATCATATTACCCCTGATGTACTGAATGTCATCAAAATGTCATCCTTTCAATATCTCCTTCATCTTTAAAGAAAAAAGTCACTGGGGGCCAGATCAGGTGAGCAGGGAGGGTGCTCCAATATAGTTATTTGTTTGCTGGCTAAAAACTACCTTGTAGACAATGCCACGTGAGCTGGTTCTCTGCTGTGGTGCAAGAGCCAGGAGTTGTTCGCCAAGATTTTCAGTTAAGATTTTCCTGTTTCTCTATTGCTGTTTACTTGGTCTTCTATGCTTCTCACATTCAGCTGATGATATTGATGCATAATTTGACAATTTTTTGCAATGTTTTCATCAATTTTGCTCATTATCAGCCATCTTGACCTCTCTTTATCAGTGATACTTTCTCTCCCCTCAAAATCATTTAATCCATTTGTACACTGTTTTCTTCATAGTGCTAACCCTGTAAACATGTCCCTGATTTCACTTCCACTCTTGCCAAGTTTAACAAGAAATTTAATGTTTGTTTGCTGCTCTAATTCAAGCTCTAACACTCTCACAACAGCACACAAAAATAAGCAACGATAAGGAATGCCACTGAGCAAGACATTGCCACTCGATGACATGAACACAACTGTGAGACTCTGATATACCAAGGTTATGAAACTGTAAGGATGGTCAGTCTTTATATCAAAATGATACAAAAATTATTGCTCTCTACCTGCATTCTCTGCTCAGGAGGCTTACTAGTAGGCTCCCTGTAAATTTCCGCCCATTTTTTCTGTTTTATTGTTTTTAGATTTTCCTTTTCAAAAAACACTGCAAAGAGCAGACAGAAAGAAAAAAAATGTGTTCTCTTTACATTTCATCAGGTCTCTATCTTTCAGAATTTGTTCTCATAGCCTCAAGGGGTCCTGAGTCATCTCTGGACCCAAAAAATAAGGTCTAAACATCAAGCCTCAGGATCAGAAACACTTGAGAAAAGTCTGTCTCTAACAGCAAAGACAGCTGCTTATCATCTCACCAGAGGAAAAGCAGATGGACCAGTTTCAGCTGTGAATCTGACAGCAATTACCTTTGTGTCTCTTTGCCTCCCGCCTTCTCCCTTAAATTTAGCAGCTGCTTGATCTCAGCTGCAGGAATTCTTCCTTTTTGTGTGATGCTATGCTATCTCCCTGCTCTGTACTCTCTTTCTCCATTCTTTCACTCTTTCATTCTTTAAGAAGATAAAATAAAGTTTATACTTTTATATCCTAATCTTGGTCTAGAGAAATTATTTTCTTGCTCCCCACAGAACACCTACTGAGCTTTCCACCCTAACAGAAACCTTATGGAGTAATTTGTGCAGTGCTGCCAATGTAAGCACACAGTGGACCCGAACTTAATTGTCAGACTTTGTATGTATGGTAAGAAACTAGGTCAGGTAGATATAGATGGAGGTGGTTATCATAAGATTAAGGGTAGGGAATGAGGCCAGGAAAGAGGCAATATAGTACAGACTTCAGAGTCAGATAAGTGATTCTGAATTCTGGTCCTTTCCTTACTAAACATGTAGTTACTTAACTGAGCCTGAGCCTGTTTACTCCTTTGCAAGATAGTAATAATGTTCATACCTGTTGTAAAACTTAAGATCACATATGTAAAGCACATAGAACAGCATCTAGCAGGTAGTGAGTGTTCTGTAAACATAACCTGACTACTCTTGGATGAAGAAGGTAGGGGAGTCATCAAATAAATGAAAAGTTATTCAGTCAGATTATAAATGAGAGTGGGATAATCAGGAAAGATATGCATGTTATGATCTTTGATATCTTTGATCTATGATATTGCAGTGTAGAGGCAACAGGAATAGTGAGAAGAATGGACGGTAAACCTAAAATGATGAAATGGTGATCAGGGGCGCCGCCTGTGGCTCAAAGGAGTAGGGCGCCGGCCCCATATGCCTGCTAGAGGTGGTGGGTTCAAGCCCAGTCCCGGCCAAAAACTGCAAAAAAAAAAAAAGAAAAAGAAAGAAAGAAAAAAAAAAGAAAAGAAATGGTGATCTGGAGAGGAGTCAGGGATGGAAGATGAGAAGAGAAAAGAAGTGAAGAAGCGGGGTGGGGCGGAGAAAGGATGTGGACCTCGATGGGGGTTAGGGGTCTACTTGGGAGCAAGGCAAGGTAACCAGCGATGTGGCAATGGGCGTGTGATTAGCACATGGCCAAGCAAAACAATCAGACAGGTCTGGGGGAGAAGGAGGGACGCACATAAATTGGGCCTAGAACAAGACAAGAAACTGAGGTGTGGGGTGAGGTCTGGACACAGGCATGAGACCAGCAGGCGGTAGCAAGGTAAGACCCAAGCATGCAGACCAGTGAGGCGGTACAGCATTGAGGAGTTTGGGGGCAGGGTGAGGATGGGGGAGGCGGTATAGAGGACGCTGACAGGACCGAGCGACTCTCAGACACCAAGGCCTGGTTCCTTGCGTCAGCCCCACGAAGAATGGCTAAAGAACCGGAGAGGAGACGGGATGTAAGGGGACTGAGTCGGCGCAGGACTCTCCTCTCACCTCCCACCGCCCGGCTTGGCCCTTGCTGAGAGCCAGCGGCCGGTCCCGCCGTCCTGGCCCCGCCTCTTCAGCAGCTGCCTTCCTCCCTTCCGGGTCACACGGCGGGTGCACGCAGGGCCGGGCATCTACGGGTCCCCTCGCGGCCCAGGCCGAGCGTGGCGGAACAGTGCGCGCGTGGAGCATGCGTGCTGTACCCGCGGGCGGCTGCGTGGGGCCGCGCTCGTCTCGCTGCAGTAGCAGGAAACCCTGTCTGGCAACTGAGAAGCAGCCCCTCCTCTCAGCCGGGTTGGCCTTCCTAGTCCTCCCTCTCCTGCTTGGAAACATAGTAACCCACACTCCCGCCTTAGGGCTGTCCTTTGATTTTTCAGTAGGTCACTTGTCCATGAATTTCTCAACCCCTTCAGCAATGCTTTGGCTTAGGTGTATCACTTTTCCCATTAGTTAAATTTGCTCAACTCTTAGTTGGGCGTTGTGGCGGGCACCTGTGGTCCCAGCTGCTGGGCAGGCTGAGGCAAGAGAATCGCCTAAGTCCAAGAGCTGGAGGTTGCTGTGAGTTGTGACAAAACAGCACTCTACTGAGCCTGACAAAGTGAGACTCTGTCTCTAAAAAAAAAAAGTTTTAAATTTGCGCCCGTAGCCTGGGCCAGTTAAACAACAATGACAACTGTAAGAAAAAATAGCCGGGTGTTGTGGCAAGCGCCCGTGGTCCCAGCTGCACGGGAGGCTGAGGCAAGAGAATCGCCTAAGCCCAGGAGTTGGAGGTTGCTATGAGCAGTGTGACGCCACAGCACTCTACCGAGGGCGACAAAAATGAGACTGTCTCTAAAATTAAAAAAAAAAAAAAAATTGCTCAACTCTGTGTTGAACTAAGGAGCTAGCAAAGCCACGCACAGGGAGTAGGGAGCACAGGGAGAACGTCTTCTGCCCTGCAAAGTGTTCCTTACATTAAATCATGGAGGGTTCAATCGCCCAAGGCCTCCCATTAGCATTTCCGTTACCATCAAGCTGTCCTGTTCCCAGAGCAGGAACTCTTTAAGGTTTGCTTCTTGTTCGTACGTCCCCCATTCCCTATGTAGAAAAATAAAGCCAAAGACCCCACAGTCTGTGCACAAAAATGATACATTTATTGAAAGAGTATTTTTTTAATACAAAAGAAAGCTCTGTACATAGGACTGTGACCATGTCCACTATTCCTGGGTCAACATCCCAGGGGAAGTAGAAACCATTGACATACACATCCCACATTCACACGCACACATTCACTCAGGTGCATGTGAGCACGCGCACGCACATACATACAAACACACACACACATACACACACACCCCAGAGCCACCAAGGAAGGAAAACACCAAGGGTTACTGCACATGTAAAGGTCACCTCATTCTTGACACAGGCATGTTCTCCCAAGGCCACGCTCACACAACACACATTATAAGTACTTTGCCTGATTCACTCACTGGGTCTGTCTTTTGTGGGAAGGAGAGGAGGAATTCATCAAGGTCTCCTCCCATGGGTAGGGGAGTGGGGAGTGAGTGGTGGTGGAGTGAAACAAGAGCAGAGAAAAGGGGCTGGGCAGTTACAGACCTGAGTCCCAAGCTCCCCCACTCTCTGGCCTCTGCCATGCCTCAGCCTTGAAAGCCACCCATCAGCCCCAGGTATCTCCAGGAGAAAGCCCAGAAAGGTGACTTCCATCTTGGCACCCCAAACTGGGCAAGACAGCAATGAGGGTTAGAGGTTAGGGAGTTCTCAAAACCTATCTGCAAATCATCCCCTTGATGACTAGGCTGTGCGTAAATTCTTCCCCTACCCCTTCACCTAATCACAGAAGCAGGCTTGTTCCTACTGAAGGCAGTGATAGGGGTTAACAAAACTCCAACCCCACTGCTGCCCTATTTCTGAAAAGGTTCCCATTCTGGATATAGGTGGTGAAGGTAAGCTCTGACACAGGGTAAAAGACCCTCCCCCCTATGCTAGCCCACCCTCAAGTCTACCCCAAAGGGGGAAAAGGGGGTGGGGCATGGCCCCTATACAAATTACATAAATACTGAGGTTACACTTAGAAAAATAAAGTCATTTTCTTCAAGGCTTTTTGTCTTAATTTAAAAAAGTTACAGTAGCTGCTCACTCCCTGGGAGAGCTGCCCATTTCTGGCTCCCCTATCACTGCACTCAGCCCAAGAGCTGCTCCCACTTCTTCTGACCCCCATTCCTGCCTTTCATTCCCTCCCAGACCCCACCCTGCTCACTGCAACTTGGGCCCCAGGCAGCTGCAGGCCTGGGGGAGCACAAGGCTGCAATGCCCATATGTGTGGCACAAATGAAGTCACTTGCCTCTACCTGATACCCTCCCACCCCCACCCCCACATTTAGTTTCCCTCTTCCCTCTCCCTAACAACAGCCCTAAAGGGCAAAAAGAGGCCCAGAGCTGTGGGTCACCCTCCCACCCCCGCTGGGGCATGGCCTGAGGGCCCCTCCCCCGGCTTTCTCCTGGAAACAACCCAGGACCGGGCAATCCCAGAATCTCACCCCCCCACACTGGTGGACCCCGAGCTCATGGGGTGGCTCTGTCCCCAGGGGCCCAGCCAGTTCTGGGGAGCCAAAGGGCTCCCCAGGGAAGGGGAGTTTGGGCAGAGAGGGGAATGAGAAAAACGCCATAAAAAAAAGTTAAATATTTTAAAAATATATATTTATAGATTTGTTTTCACTTCGTCTCCTCAAATAAAAAGTTCAAAATCAACTTTAAGTAAAGCAGCTGGGAGGAGGGGGGAAGACAAAGGGAAGAAGGGAACACTGGTGGTTCCCTCCAACCCAGGAGCCCCTGGAGGTCCAAGGGGAACGGCAAGGCAGGGCAGGTGGTCCCAGGAACCTGCCCAGTGCACAGGCCCAACTACTCAGGAGCTGAAGGGGCAGAGGGTGGCGGCGTGAGGGGAAAGCCCCCATCTCCTCAGCTGGCTCCCTGAGGGGCAAGGGCAGTGCTCTTTTGACCCAGCCTGTGGCAGACACAGGACTGATGTGGGGTCAGCAAGGAGGCGGGGGAGAGGGCCCCAACTGCTTCCTCAGGGGAGGACACAGTGCCCAGCCCCACAGAAGGCCTGTGTGTGGGAAGGTGGGGCACGGTCCCACTGGGTAAGCTAATACTTATGGCAAACGTCAAGCCAAGCTGGCGAGGGGAGTCTGAGGAGGGAGGACAGCCCCACCATCAACTGAAATGGGAGGTGGGGCTGGAAGGAGGGGAGGAGGAAGGAGGACGGGTAGAGGGCAGGCAGGCCCATTTCTTTGGCTGGAGTGAGAGGGCTCAGTCCTGTGGCTGCCCACTCCTCCTCCCCGCCTCCCTCCTGCGGCCCCATCAACATGTGTGTAAAGAAAACGTGAAAAGGCAACAATAAATAAGTGGTGCCGTCCCTTGGGGCATCTGTCCAGGACGGCGGGCGGATCATTCACTCTTGGTGCTGTGGGTGGCATCCAGGTTCACCACCTGTAGCTCGGTGAGGTTGCTGCTGCTCCCAGCCTGCTGCCCTATCACAGCCATCTGGAGGGAAGGAGGGGTGTGAGGAGGGAGAAGGAGTCAGACTGGCCAGCTTAGACTGGCCTCTCCACCCCACTACCCCAGAAAAACAGATGGGCCTCTGGGCCGTTGGTAAGGAGGTTCCCCAAGGTCAAGATAAAGAAGTAGCTATCTGGGATGGGATGAGAGATTCCCCCACACCTACCTGGTGAAGCTGAACTGCAGAAACAGGAATCTGCACTGTCCCAGACGGTGCTGTCAGGAACACCTGGGGGACGCCAGCTGCATTGGAAAACCACAGGAGATACTCAAATCCCTTGCTCAAGAGAAACTTTCAGATATTAGAGGAGTAGTGATATATGAACAAGTGACTGGGTAAGCCTCTCTGACATTAAGTGGCCAAGGGTGAGTGTCCCAATGTATCTGAAGGTACATGTGAGGTATTAAGTGTCCAAGTGTGCATGTGTATCCAAATGGACAAATATGTGTGTGAGCATCCAGGTCTGCATGTGTATTTGTATAGGAAT